ACTCTACACCTTAACTACACCTTCAGGACAGCCAGAAGTTCAATTCCTGAGCTAAGCTTTGAGGTGCAGGGCTTATATCATTGGCTGAGAGTAACCAGCTAATGCTTTCAGCCAATGGGCTTGCTCTCCACTGTCAGTTGAGCTAACAGCAGCTGCTGGCACACTCCAGTGGTTATGGTGCTTGGAGAGTTCTTTAAACAGGCACAATCTAATTTTGGGATGATAATCTCTCTGACCTTTTCTGTCAGAGTTTACCTATTTTATAGCAATAGGGTTTCAAAACAACCATACTATTTACATAAATGTGTACATAGTATGGTTAAAAGGAACATCACAAAGTGGTCTGAGTACCATAACCTCTCCCCTTCCCCACCACCCATTTTAGCCCTGCATCTGAAAACACTGCTGTCCTGCAGGATTGGCAATGGTTTCATTGAGTGGCTGTAATACTGCCACAAAAGGCGTTCGTGTGAATCAGAGTAAAACTCTGCTATTTCAAAAAGATGGTGTCAGATTTGGTGCAGCACATCGTTTTGCCATGCATGCACACTATCCTCCCAGAGCGGGAAAGCATTCGATTGGCTTAAATGATCTATTTAAAAAATCTCAGCCAAAGAGGCAGAGTATCCCTTAGGAGACCAGCGCTACGAGGGAGAAAATATTAGCAATAGTGATGTCCCAAACGGTTCGCCCCGAACGGTTCGCCGCGGACTCATCATTGAGTAAACTTTGACCCTGTACCTCACAGCCAGCAGACACATTCCAGCCAATCAGCAGCAGACCCTCCCTCCCAGACCCTCCCACCTCCTGGACAGCTCACTAAGAATGCAGCGTCACAATGAATGTAAAATGGATGCTGTCCAGGAGGTGGGTGGGTTTGGGAGGGAGGGTTTGCTGCTGATTGGCTGGAATGTGTCTGCTGATTGTGAGGTACAGGGTTAAAGTTTACTCAATGATGAGTCCGTGGCGAATCGTTCGCGGCGAACCGTTCGCGAACCGTTCGGCGAACCGTTCGGGACATCACTAATTAGCAAACTACTTTTAACCTTGGCAACGCTGACCCGGTAACCTAAATGGTGACTAGGCACTACAGTATTAGGAATACAAATTTGTATTCCTAACACAATAGTGTTCCTTTAATTTTAGCCTAACTCTGAGGGCAACTGCAGTTAATTTGCCAAATAATTCTATTCAGGTTGTAATTGTTTTTTTTTGTTTGTTTTTTTAATAAAGCTAATCAATGCACCTGAACTACATATCTCTTAAACCCTTCTGGGAAAGAGTTCATGGGATATGTACAGCGCTCTCATTGAAAACAACAGGAAGACCTATACTGGTTAGGAAATTATGCAGCAAACACAGGAAATTGTGAAGAGATTATCCGTTCCATCTTTAATTTTATGATGATGATTTCTTTTACTGTATTTTTTTAATGCATCATCACCTTCGAGTGCTGAACTTCAGATTGTTTTTCTTTAATGGAAGTTAAAAACTGTTCATGAAACACATTGAATAGTGAAATTATGCAAACTGTGCTGTGGTCTCTACTGGAATCCACGTTTAATTGCTGCTATTATTCTATGGAGTAAATGGGTTGGGGTTGACGCAGCCTTTCAATAATGGCACGTCTGATACAGATATATTGAGGCTAGTATTTTATAAAAACTATTTCAGTTGACATACTGCTGAGTCGGCTGTCATGCTATGCTCCTTGTCAATGTCTTGTGTATAATTAGGATACCTCCATAATCTATGGGTGTGCATTAGTAGGCAGATTTTGAATTGACCCTAAGGCAACCATTTAGAACACATATAAATTTTACAACTTGTAACAACACGGCTCTCTCTCCCTTAGCCTCCATAGGTCAAATGTGTAACGTGGGACCTATTCAGTTTCTTCCATTTGGTTATCAATAATGATCCCTAGGGGAGGTTCTCCTGACTGCACAGACAGCTGTAAGATTATAAAATGCTTTGTTTGTACGGAAAGAAAGTATATTCATTCTATAGCACTGACGGTTAACCATGGCTCTGAACTACATTTCAATGGCGCCCAGTTGGTATATGTAAGTATTCTAGACAGATAAAATATTTCCATAAAATAAGAATTAGGTTAGAACAGCTAGAAATTATTATGGTTTGACATTTCTGTACAGGATTACGTAAAGCCCCTTTTTCTTTGCTTGTAAAGTGCTTTCAAGACAAACGCTTTATAAACGCATGGCTATTAAGATATAGGAACATAATTTAGTATTGAAAATTTTAAAGAATTTAATAAGTTACTGTATTTTGTAAAATGATGGCTACCATCTGTGCAATAAGCTATTTTACTAACATCTTGTTTATTTGGAAATTATGGTCCAGTTCCTGACTTATCCTTTTCTTTTTTGTTTTTTAATCTTTATTTAAATAAGGCAAATACATGAAAAGACAATCACTGATTGGTCAGTAACAAAGTACATTGTCAGTTTTATGTGTGTAGGGCCTTTTCTTTTGTACAATGAAGATTTCATTATAAGAAGTAAAAGTCACATTTGGTCATATTTGGATTAAAAGTAAAATGTAATGCATGTTGGCAACAGATATCGAATAGTGTCCTTATCAGTTATTCGATTTGCTTGGCTTATACCAATTATTTACTAATATATTTGCAGTTCTGTGTTTCATGCACGCACAGTTAATAAAAAGAGACATTTTCATATAAACTAAATGCCATAACTCCATTTTCAAAATAGGTTTTGTTTCTTATTGCCTCTAAGCATGAGTGATTCATTACCTTAGCTAATTTCGCCATTCTTTCTTCTGTGAAGATTAAAACCAGACCTCTGGAATGTATTCTGATGAAGACAAGTATCCGCCAAAACGCAATAAAATTAAACGAAGGGGAAGTTTCTGCAGAGGACTTTATGTTTTCTCATCTGTGGACATTTGTCCTAAGGTTTTATATTTATTTCTGCTGTGTATAGTGGATCTCCCTCTTGATGGCTGTAACTATTTTAATTGTGAGTTACTATCTATCTATCTAACCTTTTAAATAAAAATACACTCTCAGGTCTTTAATGTAATCCATTTATATGTGAAATTGAAACAAGGTAACATCAAATGGAAGTTTCTGCTCCACCTTGCCTTTTCAAGTTCCCCCATCCCTGGAGTAAGGGATTAACAACACATATCTTTTTTAAATATATATCCTTATAATGCAGCCTGCATTAATGTTCTGTTATCTTTTAATAAATATTATTATTATTTATTCATTGTTAATACCACATAGACACTAACATATGTCGCTTGTGTTTAGAACTTTATACTTCAAGAATCTAATTTGTTTCTATAAATGTAAGGCTGTGGGATGGGTTACCCGGCCTATAAAGGAACCAGTAACCCTCCTACCTGGGCCGCTGCCGATCGCTTGGCCCACCCTCCGCACCTTTTATTACATCATTAATCCGGTGGGCCCTCCTTATTTTCAGGCCTAACCGCCCTTCGATTTCAGCATACCACAACCGACTTACTCATCTATTCGGCTTTTGTTCCCGACCACAAATGTATCTTTTTAAATCTTTGTGATTCAAGTTAAGGTGGTTCATTCTGTAGAGGGATATATAGGTAGATGGCTGTGGCTCAGCAAATAAGCTCACTGACTGTAGGCAGACAGCCAGCCCCACGTGAGTTTGAATCCAGTGAAAGACAACATGACTGCAAAAAGCATAGATATCTACACAGGCAAAATATATATATAATTAATTAAGGCTATCCTAGCTAAAAGATAAGACTAGGGACTAATGAAAGTATTTAGAAAATTGGGCAGACTAGATGGGCCGAATGGTTCTTATCTGCCGTCACATTCTATGTTTCTATTTTCCTGGATTACCTGTAGTATACTGATTTACATATCAGGTAGGTTTGAAATTGTGCAGAAACAATAGCAAAAAAACCTGCTGTAACATTTAAAAAATTTACCCAAATGCTTTTGAATTATAAACATAACAGGAAACTGCCGTTTCAACCAATTTGTTCTCACTGACAGATCAAGGCTTTTCTCACCAAAATTCATTCTATACTTTAAAGCCTTAAACACTGTCAGCGGATCAGCAGATCTGAATGTTTTTGAGCCACTTGATCTGGGTTTTATCAATAACATGACTTAGTGTGCTTTCTTCAAAAATATAGATGTTGCTTCCAATCTAATTACAACACAAAGGCTTGAATATTGATCTTTATGTAAGAGTCTCCAATGGAGCAGATTAAAATGGAGGGAGAAAAAAATAAGAATAAGAATAAAGCTGTATGGCACAAAAAAACGTGCATTTTAAACAACAAATTAAATTGTGGACATATGGATTTAAGGAATCATTGTGAAGGCATTGGTGTGGAACGGATACACATTCCTATATATTAACATTGCTTTACAAAGGCCATTCATTGATGTTGCTTTTCATTCCAAAATTTACCTTTTGTAGCAGGAAATCTGCATTAATCTGTATAAAGTTTACCATAGTTTGTTTATAAATGGTAACATTTCTAAAGGAACATTATGGGCACCATAAGAACTTCATCAAAATGAAGTTGTTATAGCGCCAAGATGTCCATTTACAAACGGTTTAATAAAAAAAATCTGTGCTCCAGTGCCGGATCGCTCTGCCCCCTAGTTCTTCCATTTGAAGTTGTTGTGAAGCTTGGAAGAGCTGCCGGGAAGGAACACCATTAATTGCTTTTCGGAGGTCAGCTGCCACTCTAAGCATATATCTTTTCAAGTTTTTTTTGTTTTTTTTATTGGTAAAGAGATTTATTTTATAAAGGAAAGTGATGGTGTTCAACCACTGGTCTGCTTGGCTGCAAGTCTCTTGTCTCTTTCCTCGACAATGGTCAGGCGGATACCCTTTCCACAAGGCAGGCTTGTTACATTTTCCAGTGAAAAAAATGTTAGACAGCCTGGTGGCGAAGCCGTTACCCAGGGCCGTCTTTAATAACGAATGGACCCTGGGCAAGTGTTTGCTTGGGCCCCCTGTGCCCTGCCGCTCTCGCCCCTCACTCCCTGGTATGCAATCACGGCATCCATCCCAACGCAGTGGCGGTACTAAAGTAGAATGAATTATATTGGGACCCCCAATTGCAAGGTTGGACTAAAGGTAGAACCCCATCTGTCGTGCAACTCCAACAATGCTTTGACAGCTGGGACTCTACCAATTTCCCATGCTTGCAGGGTTGTATTTAGCACTGAGCCATGTTAGTATGTTTGAATGTAAGCATGTGTTTGTATGGAGTATGTTTGTGTGAATGTGTTTGTATGTGGTACTGGAGTTTGAATGCAAGTGTGCATTTATGTGTAGTGTTTGTTTTTGAATGTAGGAGTGTGCTTGTATGTAGTGTTGACGCTTCAATGCAGGAGTGTGTTTTATATGTAGTGTTGAAGTTTGAATGGAGGGGTGTATTTGTATTTAAAGTTGCGGCTCAGATGCACAGGTACACACTCTGACGCTCAAGCAGATACACAGATACATACACTGACTACATACAGATAAACAGGCACATACACTGACAGACACAGGAACATATATTGACACACACACAGACACATACACTGGTAGACGTACTGACAGACATACTGACACAGGCACATATAGACATACTGACACACAGACACATATACCGACATACTGACACACACAGACACATACACTGATCAACATACTGACACACATACACTGACAGAAATACTGACACCCACACACTGACAGATATACTGACACCCACATACACTGAGAAATACTGACACACACACACAGGCACATACACTGACACACAGAGACTGATATACTGACACACACACAGACATACTGGCACACAGACAGATATACTGACACATGCATACACATGCACTAACAGACATACTGACGCACTGACAGACATACTGACACATACACATACTGACACACACAGATATACACACACATATATACTGACACATAGACAGACAGACATACTGACACACACACACAGACATACTGACACACACACAGACATGCTGACACACACATACACTAACACACACATACACACACACATACTAACACACACACATACACTAACACACACACATACACACTAACACACATACACAAACACACACATACATACACTAACACACACACACTAACACACACACACACACATTAACACACATTTTTTTTTTTTTTTAAATGTAATCCCCCCAGCCTCCCTTACCTTTTGGAGTGCTGGGGATTCCTGGGGTCCAGTGGTGCTGCTGGGCTCCTGGGCGGGTGGCCGGTCGGGCAGGCGGGCGGCGAGGGAGCACTCACTGCTTCCTCTTCAGCTCCCTCGGGCGCCGTGGGATGCCGGCGCCGGGAGATGACGTCATCTTCCGGCTCCGGCATCAGTCGGTGCGCGAGGGAGCTGAAGAGGAAGCAGTGAGTGCTCCCTCGCGCGCCCGCCTTTCGGCCACCCGCCCGGGTCAGCGGGGCCCACGGGGCAGGTGCCTCGGGCCCCCCAAGAGAAACTGGGCCCGGGGCAGCTGCCCCGTTTGCCCCGCGTTAAAGACGGCCCTGCCGTTACCGTTAGCATCCTTCACATGGACCACATCAAATGAGCCAGGGTGCCTCTCTCTGTTGGTGATGACACCAACACGACCCAAGTTGGCTCCTCCAGTCACCATACACAGGTTTCCTGTATCAAACTTGATGAAGTCTGTGATCTTTCCAGTTTCAAGGTCAATCTGGATAGTATCATTGACCTTAATCAGAGGATCTGGATAACGGATGGTACGGGCATCATGTGTTACCAAGTGAGGGATTTCTTTAGTTCCTACCCAGGTCTTCCTCCCTTTGCAGAGCTCGTACTTGGCCTCTTCGGCTGTGATCCTGTGGACGGCAAATCGACCCTTGGTGTCATATACCAGACGGAAATGTTCACCAGTCTTCTCAATGCTGGTGACATCCAGAAATCCCGCTGGATGTGTAATATCTGTTCAGACCTTGCCATCGATCTTAATGAAACATTGCATGCAAATCTTTTTGACCTCGTCACCAGTCAAAGCATGCTTCAATCGATTCCTTAGGAAGATGATGAGGGGCAGACACTCGCGGAGCTTGTGGGGACCAGTGGATGGACGAGGCACAAAGACACCGGTAAGCTTATCCAGCATCCAATGCTTGGGAGCTGCAACACAATTCAAATGCTTCTTGGTTCCATGAGCCATGGCTGCGTCTGCAATGGAAAAGCTCCAAGCTTGTTTTATGAATAGGGAGCTACTGATTGTCTTAGAGCATCAGCTGACTGCTGTAAGTCAATCAGCGGCACCTCAGCCCTGTACTGCTTGAGCCAGTGCTCCTCAACCCTCTCCTCAAAGCACACCTAACAGTCCAGGATTTAGGGATTACCCTGGTGTGTCTAAGGTGTTTAGAAAAAAGAAGAAAAAAAACACCTTAGTGTCTAAGGTGTTTTTAGTTTTTTTTTAACACCTTAGACACACCTGGGTAATCCCTAAATCCTGGACTGTTAGGTGTGCTTTGAGGAGAGGGTTGTGAAGCACTGGCTTGAGTCTTTCGTTCTGAAGATATCAGAAAGTAGAAGGGCAGGGGGCACTGGAGCACATACTTTCGGGTTAAACTGTTCAGTAAAAAAGCGACAGGAACCTCCTGGCACAGTAAAAACTTAAATGTTGTAAAAGTGTCATATCTCATTTTTATGTTGAAACGTTTATAAAAATCTGCACTGCAACGGTAACTACATTTCTCTAGGTGTTCACAAACTAGATGTCAATGGAGTACCTAACACACAATGCTCAGCCAGACCACATCATCTGCAGTGAAAAAGCTAGCCATTGTTTGGTGAGGTCATTTCCCTTATGACTAATGAACTAGCTAAATAATAATAATAATAATAATAATAATGATAAAGTGCTCAACCAAGAAAGGTGCATACTATAAAAACCAAAGAAAAGAGTTAAAGGGTGCACTACCCCAAAACCCTAAACATATTTAGACAAATGGAGGTTTTTTGTTTCACGCCAAAGGCCATAAGGTGTAAACTCACCTGCCACGTCAAGGCAAACTTCTTAGGTGGGTCCTAAACTAACATTCACCTTGCTTATTTCAGCTTCAGGTAAAACATTTCTTATGAGACGGGGGTGAGCTTACACCTAATGGCCAAAAAAAACTCAATTTGTCTAAAAATGCATAGGAATTTGGTGTAATGTGTAGGTAACTCTTTTCTTTGTTTTTTAACTATACGTATTGGGGCTGATGGTCATTGCTGCTATACAGGAGTAGTGGGAGTTTGAGAACAGGACTTATTTTTTTGTGTATTTGTATTGAGATATTCTCTGGTTTCCAAGTATGTCCTGGGGATGTTACATTGGCCCCATATCCAGGAATTGAACCTGCAACCCCCTGGAGTTGTATAGATTTTACAGGTGATGCATTAGCCCACAGAGCTCCATTTCTAGGTTACAGTTCCCACTATACTTCACTAGCAATACTTAGGGCACCGAAAGAGTATCTGTCTGTCCATCCATCCATCCATCCATCCATGGATTTATACAGGAAATAAACATGTTAATATGATGCATAAACAGTGCACACTCTATTACAGTGTATAAGTGTACATCAGATAGCATTGCTGTTTGGACGTGCACCTTGCTTTGTTGTTACCATTTTCATGATCCTTTGCATAAACATGTAAATACAGACTTTTAACCGGGGACAATCACTGAAGAAGACTGTTGTGAAAATGATTTGCAGCTTAGTGAATCAAGTTATATGAGCTTGATGGAGGCAAAAAAAGTTGCGTTTCAGCTATGTAACTGTAAAATACACACTCTCTCCAGCTATAAGTGTAAACACCAGACTCGATGGACCATTGATTTATTCTGTCTCTGAGACCATATAGGTGTATTTATAGCCAGCGTGTTCTTGTTAAGTAAAGAGCATTCTCGATGGGAGAAATATCCAGTTAGAGCCCTGTGTCTGATAGTACTTGCAGGATCTTCATTCTCTGAGATAATCAATATGCATTACAAAGCTGAAACTTCCCCGTAAACACAATCTCCAATGTATTCTCTGGAAATGCACATTGGACCGTGCTTGGGTACTCAATACAGGTAATATCTGTTCTTATTAAACTTTAAAAATAAATATTATCAGTTGCATTTTTTTAAAATTTTGTGTTCATGTATCTTTTGATGTTTGATTGTTTCTACATTAACACATTGTAAATATGTGTAGAACTGTAGAGAGTGTGTGTGGGGGGGCATGTAGGGGGCATGTGATGTGTGTGTATAGATGATGTAGTGTGTGTAGGGGCTGCAGAGAGTGTGTGATTGTTTGCATACAGGAGATCTAGTATGTGCATGTGGGATCCAGAGTGTGTATGTCTGGAATGTAGTGTGTGCGTAAGTGGTGCAGTGCATGTCTATAGAGGAGCTATTGTGTGTATAGGAGATCTAGTGTGTGTGTGTGTGTGTGTGTGTGTGTGTGTGTGTATGTGTGCATGTAGGGGATCCAGTGTTTGTGTAAAGAATTCATAGTGTGTGTAGGGGATCTAGTGTTTGTGTATAGGATCTAATTTGTGTGTAGGAGATCTGGAGAGTATACAATGGATGCTGTGTTTGTCTGGAATGCAGTGTGTGTGTGTAAGTGGTGCAGTGCATGTCTATAGAGGAGCTATTGTGTGTATAGGAGATCTAGTGTCTAGTGTGTGTGGGGGGATCCAGTGTTTGTGTAAAGAATTCATAGTGTGTGTAGGGGATCTAGTGTTTGTGTATGGGATCTAATTTGTGTGTAGGAGATCTGGAGAGTATACAATGGATGCTGTGTTTGTCTGGAATGTAGTGTGTGTGTGTGTAAGTGGTGCAGTGCATGTCTATAGAGGAGCTATTGTGTGTATAGGAGATCTAGTGTCTAGTGTGTGTGGGGGGATCCAGTGTTTGTATAAAGAATTTATAGTGTGTGTAGGGGATCTAGTGTTTGTGTATGGGATCTAATTTGTGTGTAGGAGATCTGGAGAGTATACAATGGATGCTGTGTTTGTCTGGAATGTAGTGTGTGTAAGTGGTGCAGTGCATGTGTATAGAGGAGCTATTGTGTGTATAGGAGATCTAGTGTGTGTGTAGGGGATCCAGTGTTTGTGTATGGGATCTAATTTGTGTGTAGGAGATCCGGAGAGTATACAATGGATGTTGTGTGTGTCTGGAATGTAGTGTGTAAGTGGTGCAGTATGTGCATAAGGGATGTAGTGTCTATAGGGGATCTAGTGTGTAGTGGTACAGAATGTATGAGGGGTGCAGTGTGTGTGAGGGGTGTAGTGTGTGTGAGTAGTACAAAATGTATGAGGGGTGCAGTGTGTTTAAGGGTTTAGTGTGTATGTGCGTGAGGGGTGCAGTGTGTATGTGTAAACGGTGCAGTGATTACCAGGGGTGAAGTGTGTGTATGTGAGAGGTGCAGTGTGTGTGGGGGGGTGTAGTGTGTGTGTGTGGGGGGGGTACAGTGTGTGAGGGATGCAGTGTGTGAATGTGTTGGGAGGTATAGACCTATAAAATAAATATAAGTATATAAATAAACTTTATACCTCCCTCCCTTCTTACCTTTGGCTAGGGAAGGGGGACAATGTAAACCCTAGTGGTCCTGTGTTGAGTGAATTCTAGCCTGCAGCTCCTCATGCTAACCGCAGCAATGCTCTGAGCTTGCAAGAGGAACATTTAGCTAGAGCCCCTGGGCAATCCTCTCCCATCTTCTCTCTGGATTTAAGTGCCTGTGGGTGGATGAGGTAGATCTTTGATCTCCCCTGTCAGCCTCAGCCCATGGCCATTGCTGCCCACCAGGCATTTCCCTGGTTTTCCTGATGGCTAGTAAGCATGGGCTGAACTAAACATTTTATAAGCATTGCTAGACAGAGGTTTATGGAATAATTTAGCCTCCTCGAACAAAATAAGAGGCTCTTGACTGATGGTCCACTGCCTGGTCTGGGCAACATTTATTGCTGCCACTGCTTGCACGAGGAACTTTTAATGTGTCTATTTTTTATTTTAATTTTTGTTCAAGTTTTTTTTTAATGTAATATTTATATGGGTATATTTTGTCAGCCATTAGTGACCCATTAGTGCTAGTGATTATTGAGGTAGGTTTTATTTTTATCTCTTTAACACGGAGTATCACTTTGTCATCTGATGTCATCTGGTGATTGAGTTAGGGTGTGTTGTAGAGACATGCATTGGCATGCTACTCATGAAAAGAATAAGCATATTATATGTGAAATATTAAGGTTCACAATGTTTCATTAAGTTTACATGTTAACAGATCCCCTTTAAATTGTTAATCATCCAGTGGAAGCCATAACTCCCCTCCACACACACAATAAAGAATATTGTTGTTTGTATTTGATTATTTCCTGGAGCTAAGATGGAAAATAGTCTTTGTTAATCAAGTCTAAATGCTTTTACATTATTTTGATCCTGGAATATGTTGCGATGGAAGATCTAAAGCAAGCGGCTGCCCATTTGTTGAGTTTTACCATGTTTGAATAAAAGGATGATGAGGGTTTTGGAAACATGATATGGGCTGTTGAGTCACAATGTTTGTGCAGAGAAATGATTAATGTTCCTTAATGGATTAAGTTAAATGTGATCTTTTAATGGCCATGCAGTCTTACCTGTATACCTGAGGGGGTCTGCCTTGACATTGGCAGGGGGGCATTCCCTCCAATGGCCATTGGAGTAACTAAATGACCTCCATTTGTTTAAATATACATAGCGATTTAGGAGTGAGCGCAGGTAACTTTTTCTTTGGTTTTTACTGTATGTAACGGAGCTGATGTGTACTGTGGTCATTGCTGCCGCCCAGGAGTGATGGGAGTGAGCGGAGGACTAGGGTTTTTTTTTGTATTTGTATAGAGGAGGGACTGTTAAGTAATAGTTAACCAAAGGGAACAGACAACTACAGATATATTACTTTTCATAAAACACATTGCCCGTCACTGGTGACAATGGAGTCTTCGATATATAATTACTCAATCAGGCAGCGCAGGTCATAATAAAGAAGGATGCATGGACATATGATGTCACCCACATGTCTGTCACACTCATAAATTGCGTGCTCGAGTCACATGTGATTGATCACAGATGATTTTCAGATGATTTTGGCCATTATACTCCTGAGTTGTTTTAGCTGTGTGTGATTTCCATTTGATCTTAGCACCTAATCA